GGGCATCTAGGTTGTTTCCAGGTTCTGGCTATTACAAACAATGCTGCCATGAACATAGTTGAGCACATACTTTTGTTGTATGATAGGGCCTCTCTTGGGTATATTCCCAAGAGTGGTATTGCTGGATCCAGGGGTAGGTTGATCCCGAATTTCCTGAGAAACCGAAACACTGCTTTCCAGAGTGGTTGCACAAGTTTGCATTCCCACCAGCAATGGGTGAGTGTACCCCTTTCTCCACAACCTCTCCAGCAAAGGCTATCATTGATGTTTTTTATTTTAGCCATTCTGACAGGTGTAAGATGGTATCTTAAAGTTGTCTTGATTTGCATTTCCCTGATCGCTAAGGAAGTTGAGCATGACCTTAAGTGTCTTTTGGCCATTTGAAGTTCTTCTGTTGAGAATTCTCTGTTTAGCTCAGTGCCCCATTTTATAATTGGGTTGATTAGCCTTTTACGGTCTAGTTTCTTGATTTCTTTATATATTTTGGAGATCAGACCTTTGTCAGTTGCGGGGTTGGTGAAAATCTTCTCCCAGTAAGTGGGTTGCCTTTTTGTCTTAGTGACAGTGTCCTTTGCTTTACAGAAGCTTCTCAGCCTCAGGAGGTCCCATTTATTCAATGATGCCCTTAGTGTCTGTGCTGCTGGGGTTATACGTAGGAAGTGGTCTCCTGTGCCCATGTGCTGTAGAGTACTTCCCACTTTCTCTTCTATCAGGTTCAGTGTGTTCGGACTGATATTGAGGTCTTTAATCCATTTGGACTTGAGTTTTGTGCATGGTGATAGATATGGATCTATTTTCATTCTTCTACAGATTGACATCCAGTTTTGCCAGCACAATTTGTTGAAGATGCTCTTTTTTTTCCATTGTATACTTTTAGCTCCTTTATCGAAAATCAGGTGTTCATAGGTTTGTGGGTTAAAGTCAGGTCTTCTATTCGATTCCATTGGTCGACTTCTCTGTTTTTATGCCAATACCAAGCTGTTTTCAATACTGTAGCTCTGTAATAGAGTTTGAAGTCAGGGATGGTAATGCCTCCAGACAATCCTTTATTGTATAAGATTGTTTTGGCTATCCTGGGTTTTTTGTTTTTCCATATAAAATTGATTATTGTCTTCTCCAGATCTGTGAAGAATTTTGATGGGATTTTGATGGGGATTGCATTGAATCTATAGATTGCTTTTGGTAGAATTGCCATTTTTACTATGTTGATCCTCCCAATCCAAGAGCAAGGGAGGTCCTTCCATTTTCTGGTGTCTTCTTCAATTTCTTTCTTCAAAGACTTATAGTTCTTGTCAAATAGATCGTTCACTTCCTTGGTCAGAGTTACCCCAAGATATTTTATGCTATTTGTGGCTATCGTGAAAGGTGATGCTTCTCTGATTTCCCTCTCTGCTTCCTTATCCTTAGTGTATAGGAAGGCGACTGATTTTTTTGGAGTTGATCTTGTATCCTGCCACATTACTAAAGGTGTTTATCAGCTGTAGGAGTTCTTTGGTAGAATTTTTGGGGTCGCTTATGTATACTATCATATCATCTGCAAATAACGAAAGCTTAACTTCTTCCTTTCCAATACGAATCCCCTTGATCTCCTTATGTTGTCTTATTGCTATTGCTAGAACTTCAAGCACTATATTGAAGAGGTTTGGAGAGAGTGGACATCCTTGTCGTGTTCCTGATTTTAGTGGGATGTCAGCCTGCTTTCTTATACACCCCAGGACCACCAGCCCAGGGATGGCACTCCTCCCCACTGATAGGTCTCTCCCACATCAATCACTGATCAAGAAAATGGCCCTGCAGATCTATCTACAGACAAATTTAATGGAGGCACTTTCTCAGCTGAGGATTCTCTTTCCAAGAGACTCTAATGTGTGTGAAGTTGACAAAATGGCGAACACGATAACTAACCAGTCCTGTTCCAGGCCTGCTCCCACACAGTACTGACTCATAAATGGTCCAGTCTCTATCCAGAAAGGGAGTCTGATTAGTTGTGAGAAGTGTGTGAAATTTTGCGCTGCGAGACAAATTCTTCCTTTTGGCGGACACCAGTACTTCATCTTTCCACTGTATAGCATGGTCTTCTTGAGGAAATTCCAGTTGCTTGGGATTATTGTCTCAATCATCTGATTGCCAAGGGGATGGGCACATGAGTCTCTTTTGAATATCTTCTTTCCAGCCAGTTTATATAGAGATCTTGACCAAGCTGTCCCGGTCTCTTAGCCTCTATTCGGATTCGGTAGAGTGAATTTGAGCAACACCTGTCCAACAGGGCTGTGGTGAGAAAGATTTGTGATGATGAATTTGAACTGTACTTTGAAGAGCTGAGGATGTAGCCAGTGGTCAGCCACTTACCTTGCTCACCAGGCCCTGGTTTCCATCCCTAGCACTGAAAAAAAAAAATGCTTTGGGGCCGGCTTCTGGAGTCCCTAGTCATATTTAAATTAAAATTTGTACAACATTGGTTCATTTTATTTTATGTGTATTTTGCCTGAACGTATGTATTGCACTGCATGCATGTTTGGCACTCAAGGAGATCAGAAGAGAGCATCAGCTCCCCTGGAACTGGGGTCACAGATGGTTATGAGCCACCGTGTGGATGCTAGGTATTGAACCTGGGTCCTCTGCAATAGCAGCCAGTGCTCTTAACCACTGAACCAATTCTCCAACCCTGTATTCAACTTCTGGCTCAGGGCAATGAGTACACAAGTGTATTCAGTTTGTGTTCATCCATCCGTCCATGCATCCATCCATCCATTCCTCATCCCCTCTTGCCCATCTTCTCTCTGAACACTTTCAAACCTCATCTTTTTTTGCTCATGCTCCCTCACTTCATTGAGGATATAATCTGGAGTCCCATGTGTAGACTCAGTTGAATTTTATTCTGTTTCAACTTTCAGAATGTGCCTCACACTCTGCAATTAACTCACAATGCCATGATCACCTTTATAGGTTTCTCTGAGCTTAATTTTAGTCCATTTTTACAATTTTGAACCTCCAAAGACTCGTACTTAAGACCTTGCATAAAGATATTTAAAAAAAACAAGAACCAAATGTTTCCCAAATTTCAGTTATTCACTTATCACCTTCAGGATTTTTACCAGGTTCATTAATCTCCATGATTTGCAAAAATCACATTCATAAATCTATTTTCCCAAGATGCTTCACTCTGGGTACTTCCTACTTGCTCTGGGGCTCTTTCCCTATTTTAAACGCCTACTTTGGTCTCCTGTTGGTGACATTGGAGACGTCTTGTCACATTCCACAGTGAGCTGCAAAGCCCAAGGAGGGGTTTCATCTTGTTGCACTTTGGTGTTTTGTTTTTGTTTTTGCACTTTCTTCCTTGCTAGGTCAATAGTCTGAGGGATGTTTGTGAATTTGCTGAAGCTTGAAGAGACCCTTGTCAGCTGGGTCCCTGGAGCTTGCTGTCCCTGGGTTACCAGTATGCTCTTTCCTTTTCTAGTCACCTCTTCATCCTGCCTAATGTACACCTCAGCCCTTCCAGATGGAAGCATTTTTTCTCTGATTCTCCTTTAACTCCGTTAATTCTTCTCTTCATTGTCATCGCCTTTTGATGTGTCAGTCGCCCCTCCTAGGTGACTTATGCCCCTTGCCCCTACTAATAGCATAGGGCTTGGGTAGAGCAGATGCCTAGGAACTGTTCTCAGAACGCCTAAATTAACAGTTGAATAGGGGGAATGTGGACAGATGTGTGAATGGATCTCGTTTTAGATGTCTTGTCCCCAAATCAGAAAGCTCTGACCCACGCCCACAATGCTCTGTGGCTGTGATTATGACAGGCGGGACCCCTGTCTCTGTGTCTGATGACATCAGCACTGAACAGTCTTACTACTCGCCTAAGTGACTCAGGGCTGTCTGTCTCCTGCAGACTTGATTCCAGGACCGATGGCCCTAGCTTACTGCCAGACTGTGGGGCTGGAACAGGCTGCTGAGCCAGCACCACCTGCCCCTTGTCACTTATCCCACAGGGCTGCAGCACTCGCGACAGGCTGCTGCATATGTGTGTGAGAGCGCGCGCATGCGGCGCGCGCATGGATTTTCTGTGGGACATGAAAAGAGCCTTCTCATTGGCTGCCGAGGGTCCCAGTTCCAGTCTGTGAATCTCTGGGCTGCTGGCTCTGCCCTCCCATGGGAAGGCAAAGCAGGCAAGGGAGGGGAGAGTGGAGTGAGGCTTCAGGTGTGTCTGACTAGGAAGCAGGTACCCTGGTGGCCGCATTGGGCATTCCAGAGGCGTCTGGGTGTGCTAGCGCCAAGCCTGCAGCCTGGAAGCCTCATGCTTTGCCCAAATTTCTTCAGGTTTCTCTTAGGACTGGCGCCCAGAACGCACTGGCAGCTGTCACAGAACTGGATCCGTCCCCCAGTGGAACAGGGAGCTGTGTCACTTAGAATTCCTGGGTAGCACATTCCTTCACTGGTCCTTGTCACACTCATGGATGAGGCTCTGTTATTGGCCCCTCGCTCCTGCAAGCTTCTGCAGATCCAGAGAGCAAGCGGCAGCAGGAATGACAGCTCTGAGAGCAGAGGCAGCCAGGGACAGTAAGGGCAAACGAGTCGGGTCCCGGGGGTTGCGGGGGCTGGCCCCATGTGCAGATTCGGATGAGGTGGGGCTTGCACTCAGGGTTTGCTAGGGTTCTTTTTTGGAACCTGGGCTGCTAGACCTGACAGGAGCGCTGAGCAAGGGGGAGGGGATAGAGAGGGAGGAAGGGAGCGAGGGAGGAGAGAGAGAGAGAGAGAGAGAGAGAGAGAGAGAGAGAGAGAGAGAGAGAGAGAGAGAGAGAGAGAGAGAGAGAGAGAAGAGCCCTAGCAGGCTCTAGTCCAAGTAAGAGGTTCAGATCTGGACAATACTGTGCCAAGGGCACAAGTGGGATTTGGAAGAGACATGTGTGTAAGAAGCAAAGCTGAGGTGATGTAAGCACCTGGGGAGGAGCACAGGTCGAGGAGGAGGAAGAGGAGGAGGAGAAGGAGGAGGAGGAGGAGGAGAAGGAGGCGGTGGCGCGGCGGCCGCGGTGGCTGCCAGTCCAGAACAGAATGATGGGCAACTCTCACCACAAGCAACCGAGGAGTAAGAGCCAAAGCAGCAGGATGCATTCAGCAACAGGTACTCTCTTTCCTTCCCTCCTTTTCCCCCCGGGCTTCTCTAGCCAGGGCCTCCCTGGCTCACAGGGCCCCTGACCTTTGGCGTGACTTGCAGGGGCTGGCAGGGGGCGGGGAGAGAGCCTGAGGGAGATTCGGGGTGAACTCCCAGCTCCCTTACTCCAGTACCAGGCTGAATTGCATAAGTCTGAGCTCCCTGAGCAGGCAGGAGCTGGCTCCTTAGCCAGCAACTCCTTGCAGCCTCTGGAAGGTGGCTGGAGCGCCAGCGACTGAAGTTTATTGCTAGCACTGTGCTTTCTCCCTGGAGCCTTGCACGGCTTACCCTTCAGGAGTCTCCTTTGTTATTCAAACCTCCGGCTCTCCCAGCCCCCAGCCCCGCCCCACACGTGTGCACCTACACCTCTCTGGGCTCTACCTCAGCTGCTGCCTGCTCTGAGTGAGCCAAATGAGGCTGTTTCTTGCTGTGTAATGCCCTGCCCCCCACCTCCTGGCCCCAGCCCTTACTGAGATACTGGACTTGCGTGGACAGAGGGGCGCATTGGACAGTCTGGAGTCTGTTGTCCTCCTACTTTCAATGTGCTCTTCTTTGTCCTCTGTGTCCCTCCAGAGGTGGACTCAAGGGTGCTGGCATAGTTTTCCCCCAACTTCTTCCTAAACCTCACAGTGTGGGGATTAGGGCGTGGAGACAACTTTTGCTAGCTTGCCTTTGCACTGCAAGAGGACTGTGGAGAAAACTGTTTTATTCCTACCCCTAACAACTTAACTTTTATCCTCCTCCCCCACTTTTGGAACCTGGGCCTCAGACATATTCAGCAAAGTACACCACCACTGAGCTGCATCCCCAGCCCTGCTCTCTTGGCAGAACCCCATTTTTCCCTCCCCCTCACACAGAGTCCCAGAAGAGCCCAGAGTTTCCTCTGTGCCCATTTGGGAAGCTTTCATCCACTATCCAGGTCAATGGGAAGGAAAGGGAAGTGTAGCCCAAGTTTAGCGTAGAAAGTCGTAGATGGGTCAGTGCCATTCTCAAGCACAGAGGATGTCTCTATCTGGTCCTGGGGCTCTGCTGGCTGTGGATGTGACCGCAGTTGTCTAAGGCTGGTTATAGTGGCAGCTCTAGAAGTGGAGGAGCTTGCAGGAGGTTTGCAGGGGGGACGGGGAGCAGCTACAAGAAGTTCAAGAGGCCATGCTGATGAGCCTCACTCCTGGAGCCTGCTAAGAAGAGTATTTATTGTTTTGGACTTCTGGGTACACTGAATTGGCTCCTTTGGTGGACTAAGTCAAGGACAAGATTCTGAGTATTGGCTTTTCTTTGTAATATTCTGAGAACACTCTTTTAAGGCTATATTAGCAGGTAAATGGCCTAGCCACCACCTTGTAGCATCTGTCTTCTCTGCCATGGAACTGGAGGCTCAGGACCTGCAGGCATTACATGGTGATGTTTTGTGCAGCTTTGTCCAGGAACTGGAGGAGAGTTTTCCACTTGCCAGTGTTCAAAATGTGGGCAGTTACTGGCTGTTGTTTCATTTCTTAGCAGTTGCTTTGTGTTTTCAGTGTCTGTCCCAGCCCAGGGTCATCCTGCTAGGCAGTAACTACCAGAGCAGCCTCTGGCAGCATGAGGAGGTGGCCTCATGGCCCCTTCTCTCTCCCTAGTACCCTCCACCTCCTGACAGAGGACCATGCCTGCTCACTTGCTGTCTCTAGGCAGCCCCAGAAGCCTGCAGGAAAAACTCCCTCCCACTGGGCAGACCTAAAGAGTAAGGGTTCAGTTGCCCATCCCTTGCCCATAGAGCCTCACAGGCTGCTCAGAGGGAGAAAGGTGCAATCAGCCATGCTCTTAGCGAAAAGCTGAGAGCCTGCCTATGGGAAGCCCTGCAGTGACCAGGAAAGCCTTCCTTCTTTCTCCTATCATTAGAAGAAAGTGTCCTGTCCTAAGAGCTGTGGCTTAGGCCTGCTTTTCCTCCCACTCTGCACCTCTCCCTTAGCAACCTAGGCTACCCCGAGGAAACCACTCTATAGGCTTGACCCCTGTATCTCCGTCTCCTGCCAAGACTAACATAACCCACTGCTCCAGTTCCAACCTAATGTCCCAGGAGTACCCACACTCGCTGAGCACAGCTTGCTCCATCCTTTGCCTTCTTGGTTCCCTTTCTCCCGTTTTTCTCTTAATGGCATCAGCATCCTTCTAGGAAAGCAAACTAAGAACCTAGGACTTATCCGTCGCTCTATTCTTACTGATCTCACTGTTTTATTTGCGCATCCACCCAGACCTCTACCTGACAATCATTTGTTGCTAAGACTTTTCCTGAGACATAGCCCCCGTTCCTTTTGTGCACTGCCAGTGTCCACTCTTGTCTGTTCTAGGACTGACTCCTGGCCTTTGCCTCTGATCTTCTCTTAGCTAACCTAATAGCCACCATAGTACTTTCTTGTGGTGGGTCCGAATCTTGCTAACTTTGGAGTGGGAGTATCAAGACTGTTTCCCTGCTGTGGAGGTAGATCCCAAGTGGCCTGAGGATTATCGTGGATGCTGGGGAAGAAAGCTCTTACCTTTCAGTTCTGTAGGCATTGTAACGCATATTAGAAAAGTCTACATAGTGTTTCAAACTCTGGTTTCCCATAGTTTTTATTAGGGTAAGGTTAAGCACTTGTAAAGTGAGTCTCTTTGGATAAAATGATTAATAGAATTCTCGCTGTGTGGAAAAGGCTAAAGTTGAGAAACTGAAAAAATAATGCTTGAACTTTGAGCAGAAAACAGTTTCTGAGATAAAGCGTATGTTGCTTGGCACATTTTAGTGACCTCCATGCCTGGAGCCTGCCTGTTTCCCCAATCTCACCTGCCGTCACTTCTCACCCAACACTTGATGATGCAGTAATTTCGAATGGCTTCTTCATTCCCAAAGTCACCCATTCACCATTTCTGTGATTTGCTGAAATTGTTTTCCTCTGCTTGGAGTGTAGCTTCCAACCACTATTGTCTTGTGGCGACTCCCTGTTCATCCTTGTCTAATGTCATCTCTTCTCTGAAACCTTCCTCCTCTAGTCTCCCTCCTTCGCCACTCTTTCCTTTAGATACACTCGATACATTTCCACAATTCTATCAGTGTGGAACTGTTATTTGCGTCCTTATTTATTTTTGAAATGTAGTCTTACTTTGTACTTCGTGCTGACTTCGAGCTCCTTTTGCAGCCAAGAGTGGTCATGAACTCCTGCTCTTCCTGCTTTAGCCTCCCCAGTGCTGAGATTCCAGGTGAACACCACTACACTTGGTATTGTACTTGCTGTTCATTCATTTACTTAATGCAGTACTGGGTGTTGAGCATAGCAGCCTTTGGCAGACTAGGCAAGCAGCTCTACCCTTGAGTTCTGCTCCCCGTGCTGGAGTTGGCTTCGCGGGCTTAAACGGATTTCAAAACTGCACATCTGGGAATGAGAGTGAGCCCATGACTAGAACTCCTGGCTTTCTTGCCCATGAACCTGCAGGCTGATCTTAAGCGAGTCACTTGCCCTGGCTTTTTCTATCTTTTGTTAAACAGTCAGGGATCCTTGGAGGGGACTCTTAGCAGCCCTGGCAGGGAGTTGTGAGAATGGAGTATGAGCTAGGTTGGAAAGCTTTCCAAATGGGGAAGAGTGATGATCGCAGGAGGGGGAACACTGTGGGCTGTTGCTCTCAAGCTGGAGACAGAAATGGCCCCTGCGTGTTTCAGAGAATACCAGGAGCAGCCACTAAGCTCAGCAGTTGGTATCACTGGATGGGGAAAAAATCATTTGCCTAGTAGGAGAGGTGGGATGTGGAGAGACAGTAGCATCATGTGGAATCCCAGCAGGACCGTAGAACATAGTAGGCTGCTTGGAGGGGAGAAAGCTTCTCTGGCAGCTTCACAATCTGGAAATGATTTCTCACAAGCCCTCAAGCCTGTCACTTCTTGATCAGATGCGGCTCTACCACCCTGTTATTCTGTTTGTGGCGCAGTAGTTAATGTGTGCTTGTGGCACTGTTACTCCCTAGCATATGCATGGCTTGCCACATGGGAGCCATTCACTTGAACTAGTACCTTGCTGAGAAGCTAGAGGGACCTTGTATTCATCACACACCTATTACATGCCAACACTTTACATCCACTCCTTAACCCTGCGAACAGCTACCAGGGATGGATTATCGACGCCTTTTTACAGATGAAAAAATGAGAAGAAAAGGGCAAGGGCGGTCCCGTGGTCTGATAACAAGGTCTTGTAACACGGTCTGATACAAGATGTAGAAGGGAAACTCGAGCTCATGTCTGTCTGCCTTTTGAGCGGGACCTATTATGGCATGTCATGTGCCTCTCATCATCTTTGTAGCTGTGACAGGAGTTAGTAACCCTGGAGACTGGGTGCTGTGGAAAAAGGAGACCATGGCTCCGTTCTGGTAGGATGAGCAAATCTCTATAGCAACAAAGACTGCAATGCCCAGCTTGGTAGAAGTCCTACCATATGTCTGTTTGATAGCACATTTGTATTGTTGCAATAATTGAACTCATGAGGCTCTGTGTTGGGTCCAGAAACTAGAGCAGGGGATGCCCGAACTATCAAGAAAGTGAGATTCTTGTTCTTAAGCCTAAAGTAGGTGTCCGGAGAGAGGCTTCAGGTCCCACGACTCCTGGTATCAATGCTGGCTTCCAGCGTCCCCTCCCCACAGGTGAATACTGTGAGAACAGTGACCCTGTTCTCTTTTCTATATTGAAACGAAATGAAGGAATCATTCGGTTGCATTTTCAAGGCATTTTTATAGTTGACCTGACTCTTTCATCTTTACAAATTTATTGAATTTACAGCATCCTTGCTATCATAATGGAAGGCAAATGACAGAGACTTAGCAGGAAGTCAAATTACTTGCACCTCTTCCTCTGGGGTCCTTCTTCCTAAAGACATATTTCCTAATGATTCCATTGGAACACATGGAAAGGGTTAAAATTCTAGGCCAGTGAACAAAAATATTTCCCAGAAATCCTTGCCTCCTAAAACTGA